ATCAGTTGTGTATTTGTGAAGTCTTTGAAAATGTAATAAGTTTTACGAAACGCGCCCGTGTCGCGTCAGACTAGAAATAAAAATGAATTTTGGAGAAGTGATTTTTTATTTACCTCCAACAGTGAAGCGTAATGTACGAAAGATTGAGAAAATTCGTGTTAGAATTATTAATCTTACTTTTTCGGTCATATTTAATAATATATGTCTACAGGAAAGACTGCTACCAAAATATACTAATATATATATATATATATATATATATATATATATATATATATATATATATATATATATATATATATATATATATATATATATATATATATATATATATATATATATATATATATATATATATATATATATATGTATGTATATAAAACCCACTCGGATGCAAATGGAACGTTGAGTTTCAAAGCAATCGGTGAAGAACTTTCGGAGATTAGCGATTATGAACAAACGAACATATACATTTTTATTTACATAGATTTGAAAATACGTCACCGGAAGCTTAATTTTGTTCCAACAATATTTTAATTAATTTATTTAGTCACGAACCTTCTAGATTCTTAAGATAATGTGTACAAAGTCATATAGGCCTATGGGCCCTATGATGTACGTGTCCATGTGATGAAGTAGGATCTAGTTGATGTATGATATAGTAGATGAATGATATAAGAAAATGAATCTGATGTGATTCTGATGTAGGATCTAGTAGAGATATAATTTTGATATAGGATATAGTAGAGATATAATTTTGATATAGGATATAGTAGAGATATGATTCTGATATAATACATTTCTTAGATGATAATATTGATACAGTGGGTGGAATATCCCAGACACACATTCAAATATTACCCAAGGTGAGTGACAACACATGTATCTAGCAGGGAGCACTCAGGGTGAGTGACCACGCACACGAGGGATTACCCGTGATGAGTGATCAAATATGTAAGGAATACCCATGGTAAGTGACCTCACATGCAAGCACCCTTGGTGAGTGATCGCATCTGCAGGCCGCACTGAGTACCCGTGTTGAGTGACCACAGATGCAAGGAGTTCCTATAGTAAATGACCACACACGCAGCATGAACCCATGGTGATCATGGCTTTAAATAAAGACTGTAAGGTCTTTAGAATTTTACAGTCTTCATTTAATGTGTGAGTAACCCACAAGGAATGATGTGACCATGGGTCAGCATGTGACCCATGGTGAGTGACAAAACATGTGTGAGGTTCCAGGTGATTCTATCCAACTCCAATCCATCCAGCAGTCGACCCCAGAGACGTATTCAACAATTTTAGCATGCTGTTCTTTTTGTAATAGCAATAAACTACGAAATGTTAGTTATGCTACGAAATGCGTTAGTTTTTTCGTAGCTAGAGAGTAGAAACAGCTAGATAATAGGCACTGGACATCCTTCTATTCCATGTATGAAGCCTCGTTGGATAGGGCTCTTGGGGTGACCAGGAATGTCTCGGGTTACCACAGGTTGACTCCATATTTCTTCCTCCCCCGAGCTGCACCTGCCGAGTAACTAACAAGTAATAATGTCACTATTACACACGACATAAACCAGAGAGAAAGTTTATATAATTGAGACACGGCTTACCCATTCTGGGTGTCTGGTAGGCATTAGAACCGGCCTATGAAATACTCAATACTACTGGCCAATACACTGTAGTATCTTCAGGGAGTGGATCTTTAACGTATAGTATCTGTAAAGGGAGCCGGTGGCTGAGCGGACAGAACACTTGACGCGTGATCATGTGGTCCCGGCTTCGATCCCAGGCACCGGCGAGAAACATGTGGTAGTTTCTTTCACCATGATGTTACTGCTCCTGTTACCTAGCAGTAAATAGGTACCTGGGAGTTAGTCAGCTGTCAAGGGCTGCTTCCTGAGGGTGGAGGCCTGGTCGAGGACCGGGCCGCGGGGACACTAAGCCCCGAAATCATCTCAAGATAACCTCAAGATCTTACTAGTAGACCGGGTACAATACTTCGCAAGGTAGAGAAATCGTGGGTTGATTGAACTTCTATAGTTTCTATATCACGAAATTCGCGAGAAGTATGGATGATACGTGCACGTGCTAATTCTTGATGAGAGCTGGTACGTGTGAGCGTTGGAGTGCCAGGCGCACATTGGCATGGGTAGACGTCTTCCTCCCAGACTCCCGCTGGGGACCCAACCATCAGCATGGTTCTAAATTCGTTATTATCGACTTAGCAAGGCAGACCTTGGATTTGTTTGGTACTTAATTAAATCCAGTTCTAATGAGTACTTTTTATCATATTATTGGATGGTTTAGACTGAAGGACCCTTAGAACCTTTGACCCTTAGACTGATGGTTTTATGTTGTCATAATAGAAATATTGTGCATAATGGCGGATTTGCTTACGTGGCAATATCCTATTTTCTCTGAGAAGCCAATATACTTGTCTCCTATAATGGTTCTCTCGTGATTAGTCCAACCACTTGGTCTGGACGGTAGAGCGACGGTCTTCCTTCACGCAGGTCGGCGTTCATTCCCCGACGGTCCAAGTGATTGGGCACCATTCCTTCGCCTGTCCCATCCCTGATCCTTATGCAAGTCCCTTCCCAGTGCTATATAGTCGGAATGGCATTGGTGTTTTCTCTTCATAGTTCTCTTCCCTTCTCACGGTGGTGGTGGGGATCCTTCACTCTCCGCCGCCTGTTGCGTCCCCCCCGCCCTCCGACCACACTGCTGGGGCAGGGGGTCAGCTCCTGGGCTCATGCCACTACTGGAGGCCGTCCTTAACGTCCTTAGTGTGTCCTTAAAGTGGTGACGTTCATGTGTGGTCTATGAATGTGGTGACGTTCATGTGTGTTCTATGAATGTGGTGACGTTCATGTGTGGTCTATGAATGTGGTGACGTTCATGTGTGCTCTGTGAATGAGGTGACGTTCATGTGTGTTCTATGAATGTGGTGACGTTCATGTGTGGTCTATGAATGTGGCGACGTTCATGTGTGTTCTATGAATGTGGTGACGTTCATGTGTGTTCTATGAATGTGGTGACGTTCATGTGTGGTCTATGAATGTGGCGACGTTCATGTGTGGTCTATGAATGTGGTGACGTTCATGTGTGGTCTATGAATGTGGTGACGTTCATGTGTGGTCTATGAATGTGGTGACGTTCATGTGTGGTCTATGAATGTGGTGACGTTCATGTGTGGTCTATGAATGTGGTGACGTTCATGTGTGGTCTATGAATGTGGTGACGTTCATGTGTGGTCTATGAATGTGGCGACGTTCATGTGTGGTCTATGAATGTGGTGACGTTCATGTGTGGTCTATGAATGTGGCGACGTTCATGAGTGTTCTGTGAATGTGGCGACGTTCATGTGTGTTCTGTGTATGTGGCGACGTTCATGTGTGTTCTGTGTATGTGGCGACGTTCATGTGTGTTCTGTGTATGTGGTGATATTCATGTGTGGTCTGTGAATATGGTTAAGTTACGTCATATTTCCTTGACCCATTTTAAGTCTTCAAACAACAAAAACATCCGGATGGTTCACAAGAGCATCCGGGTGGTTCACAACAACATCCGGGTGGTTCACAACAACATCCAGGTGGTTCACAAGAACATCCAGGTGGTTCACAAGAACAACAACAACAAGAACATCCGGGTGCTTCACAAGTGTTGGAAATTTCCAACAGTTATTCTCATCCCTAATACAACAGGATGTATTTCCTGTATTAGGCTTCATACACATCTAATGTTCATTTAATAATCCTTAATACAACAGGATGTATTTCCTGTATTAAGCGTAATAATTAACTAACACTACTAATATGTAGTTTAGTATTGTAGAATTTATTATATTAGGTTGTGGAACATCATGTAATTTCTCCTAGAATTGTGTAGTGTTGCGTCAGTCGCGCTCGGGGGATAAAATTTCCACATACCTGTAGATCTAACACCAATGTAACCATTTACTTTCCTTTATTAGGAATAATAATTTAGTAATAGGTTTACTTTAGTATACAATAGTTTACTGGAATTTCTTTACCCAGCTTAATCGCTGTTCCAGTGAATCATATCATAATCTAGCATCATTTCCACCACCAAGCCCGTATTGTTTTATTTGTGCCGTCTACATTAACTGACGTGCACTGTGAGAATTAAACATCACCACATAAAATATTTATCTTAATCATCAAGAGTGTTCATACACGCCCCCTTCCCTATTTAGCGTTAATAAATAAATATAATTTATGCTCGAATCCTCACGGCGAGCTATTGCGCATGCGCGACTTTGGTGAAGGAGAAGGGAGAGGACTCTCGCCATCTTTGCGATCAACAAGTGGTTCTCCGTAAGCGGTTCAAAAAATCTTCTCATCCAACCGGCATCCGAACATCTTTAGTTGCCAGATTGAGGACGCAGCTTCCCAGAATCACGGACACCAGTTCGGCTGGCATTTTTACCTCATTTGTTCTATTTAACGAGCTCTTAAATAAGATCATGTAGGTGCCATGTCGTTATGATGCGGGCGTAAAAATAATCTCATGTAAGTGTAGCTCTTTCCCCTCCAAATATTTAGATATTACCGTATATGTGTGTGAATACTAGTCTGGAGGTGGAAATTACGGGATTATCATTATTGCAGCATGGTGCAACACCCTGAGGAAGCGTGTGACCGCCATACCCTCACGTGCGCCAACTTAACACTATCTCAAACTGTTTCCAGCCAGACGTACAGTGGACTGCATCTACGTCCTCTGTCACAGCTGAGACATAATCAGTTTTCATTGTAGATAGTATCTTATTATTCAGAGTCCATATCCATATATATTTATCTATATATCTGATACTGCCAGTTATGCCTTATTAATCTTCATATTGCAGTAGTATTTTGCATTCTATATTTTACTCATTATCTATGTGTGTGCATATTATAATTATTATTATTGCATAATATATGTTCCACATAGATTAATCTCATAGAATACCCCCCAAATTGTGTCATGGGATGCTGGCTCTAGAATTATATAATTTACAGTCATTGCATAATTAATAGAATTTATCCATATAATCATAGATCTATAAGCCACTGATTTCTCATTTAATTACTCATTCTGGTCCTTCGAGCTATCTTAGAATTTATCATTATTTTACATTCACATAATTATACATTTTCTTAGTATTATACTGGAGCCAGATTTCCCCACAACAAGAACAAAAAGAACAAGAACATCCGGGTGGTTCACAAGAGCATCCGGGTGGTTCACAAGAGCATCCGGGTGGTTCACAAGAGCATCCGGGTGGTTCACAAGAGCATCCGGGTGGTTCACAAGAGCATCCGGGTGGTTCACAAGAGCATCCGGGTGGTTCACAAGAGCATCCGGGTGGTTCACAAGAGCATCCGGGTGGTTCACAAGAACATCCAGGTGATTCACAAGAACATCCGGGTGGTTCACAAGAACATCCAGGTGATTCACAAGAACATCCAGGTGGTTCACAAGAGCATCCAGGTGGTTCACAAGAACATCCAGGTGGTTCACAAGAGCATCTGGGTGGTTCACAAGAGCATCCGGGTGGTTCACAAGAACATCCGGGTGATTCACAAGAACTTCCAGGTGGTTCACAAGAACATCCAGGTGGTTCACAAGAACATCCGGGTGGTTCACAAGAGCATCCGGGTGGTTCACAAGAACATCCGGGTGGTTCACAAGAACAACAACAACAACTTCCGGGGGGTTCACAAGAACATCCGGGTGGTTCACAAGAACAACAACAACACGAACATCCGGGTGATTCACAAGAACATCCAGGTGGTTCACACGAACATCCGGGTGGTTCACAAGAACATCTGGGTGGTTCACAAGAACATCCGGGTGGTTCACAAGAACATCCGGGTGGTTCACTAGAACAACAACAACACGAACATCCGGGTGATTCACAAGAACATCCGGGTGGTTCACACGAACATCCGGGTGGTTCACAAGAACATCCGGGTGATTCACAAGAACATCCGGGTGGTTCACAAGAACATCCGGGTGGTTCACAAGAACATCCGGGTGGTTCACAAGAACATCCGGGTGGTTCACAAGAACATCCGGGTGGTTCACAAGAACAACAACAACACGAACATCCAGGTGGTTCACAAGAACATCCGGATGGTTCAGACGAACATCCAGGTGGTTCACATGAACATCCGGATGGTTCAGACGAACATCCAGGTGGTTCACAAGAACATCCGGGTGGTTCACATGAACAACAACAAGAACATCCGGGTGGTTCACAAGAATAAAAAGAACAAGAACATCCGGGTGGTTCACAAGAGCATCCAGGTGGTTCAGAAGAACATCCGGATGGTTTAGAAGAACATCCAGGTGGTTCACAAGAACATCCAGATGGTTCACAAGAACATTCGGGTGGTTCACAAGAGCATCCGGGTGGTTCACAAGAGCATCCGGGTGGTTCACAAGAGCATTCGGGTGGTTCACAAGAGCATCCGGATGGTTCACAAGAGCATCCGGATGGTTCACAAGAACATCCAGGTGGTTCACATGAACATCCAGATGGTTCACAAGAACATTCGGGTGGTTCACAAGAGCATCCGGGTGGTTCACAAGAGCATCCGGGTGGTTCACAAGAGCATCCGGGTGGTTCACAAGAACATCCAGGTGATTCACAAGAACATCCAGGTGGTTCACAAGAGCATCCAGGTGGTTCACAAGAACATCCAGGTGGTTCACAAGAGCATCTGGGTGGTTCACAAGAGCATCCGGGTGGTTCACAAGAACATCCGGGTGATTCACAAGAACATCCAGGTGGTTCACAAGAACATCCAGGTGGTTCACAAGAACATCCGGGTGGTTCACAAGAGCATCCGGGTGGTTCACAAGAACATCCGGGTGGTTCACAAGAACAACAACAACAACTTCCGGGGGGTTCACAAGAACATCCGGGTGGTTCACAAGAACAACAACAACACGAACATCCGGGTGATTCACAAGAACATCCAGGTGGTTCACACGAACATCCGGGTGGTTCACAAGAACATCTGGGTGGTTCACAAGAACATCCGGGTGGTTCACAAGAACATCCGGGTGGTTCACTAGAACAACAACAACACGAACATCCGGGTGATTCACAAGAACATCCGGGTGGTTCACACGAACATCCGGGTGGTTCACAAGAACATCCGGGTGATTCACAAGAACATCCGGGTGGTTCACAAGAACATCCGGGTGGTTCACAAGAACATCCGGGTGGTTCACAAGAACATCCGGGTGGTTCACAAGAACAACAACAACACGAACATCCAGGTGGTTCACAAGAACATCCGGATGGTTCAGACGAACATCCAGGTGGTTCACATGAACATCCGGATGGTTCAGACGAACATCCAGGTGGTTCACAAGAACATCCGGGTGGTTCACATGAACAACAACAAGAACATCCGGGTGGTTCACAAGAATAAAAAGAACAAGAACATCCGGGTGGTTCACAAGAGCATCCAGGTGGTTCAGAAGAACATCCGGATGGTTTAGAAGAACATCCAGGTGGTTCACAAGAACATCCAGATGGTTCACAAGAACATTCGGGTGGTTCACAAGAGCATCCGGGTGGTTCACAAGAGCATCCGGGTGGTTCACAAGAGCATTCGGGTGGTTCACAAGAGCATCCGGATGGTTCACAAGAGCATCCGGATGGTTCACAAGAACATCCAGGTGGTTCACATGAACATCCAGATGGTTCACAAGAACATTCGGGTGGTTCACAAGAGCATCCGGGTGGTTCACAAGAGCATCCGGGTGGTTCACAAGAGCATCCGGGTGGTTCACAAGAGCATCCGGATGGTTCACAAGAACATCCGGGTGGTTCACAAGAACAACAACAACAAGAACATCCAGGTGGTTCACAAGAACAACAACAACAAGAACATTCGGGTGCTTCACAAGAACAACAACAACAACAAGAACATCCAGGTGCTTCACAAGAACAACAACAACAACAAGAACATCCAGGTGCTTCACAAGAACAACAACAACAACAACAAGAACATCCAGGTGCTTCACAAGAACAACAACAACAACAAGAACATCCAGGTGCTTCACAAGAACAACAACAACAACAAGAACATCCAGGTGCTTCACAAGAACAACAACAACAACAAGAACATCCATGTGCTTCACAAGAACAACAAGAACATCCAGGTGCTTCACAAAAACAACAACAACAACACCGGGTGGTTCACATGAACAACAACAAGAACAACAACAACACCGGGTGGGTTAACTCTACACTGAATAATGCACTAAATTCATCAAATATTATTTACATAAACTTTATATTTTTTACAACACAGACAATAATTATTGTTCTTGCATGTCAGTTTTCAGCTCTTTGTTTATCATTTACATTAAAAGCGTTCTTTGTTGATAATAAAGAAATAATGAATTCAATTAAAAATATTTCACACATATAATGCCCGTTTTCAGCACAAAAAATATTTTCAGTTTATTGAAAAGTTGAAAAAAATATTACGTTGAATAATATTACTGGCATGTCGAGGCTTCCCTTTATATGAGGTAGTGAGGGAGAGTGGGCAGTGTGGGAGAGTGGGCAGTGTGGGAGAGTGGGCAGTGTGGGAGAGTGGGCAGTGTGGGAGAGTGGGCAGTGTGGGAGAGTGGGCAGTGTGGGAGAGTGGGCAGTGTGGGAGAGTGGGTAGTGTGGGAGAGTGGGCAGTGTGGGAGAGTGGGCAGTGTGGGAGAGTGGGTAGTGTGGGAGAGTGGGCAGTGTGGGAGAGTGTGGGAGAGTGGGCAGTGAGGGAGAGTGGGCAGTGTGTGGGCAGTGTGGGAGAGTGGGCAGTGTGGGAGAGTGGGCAGTGTGGGAGAGTGGGCAGTGTGGGAGAGTGGGCAGTGAGGGAGAGTGGGCAGTGTGGGAGAGTGGGCAGTGTGGGAGAGTGGGCAGTGTGGGAGAGTGGGCAGTGTGGGAGAGTGGGCAGTGTGGGAGAGTGGGTAGTGTGGGAGAGTGGGCAGTGAGGGAGAGTGGGCAGTGTGGGAGAGTGGGCAGTGTGGGAGAGTGGGCAGTGAGGGAGAGTGGGCAGTGTGGGAGAGTGGGCAGTGTGGGAGAGTGGGCAGTGAGGGAGAGTGGGCAGTGTGGGAGAGTGGGCAGTGTGGGAGAGTGGGCAGTGTGGGAGAGTGGGCAGTGGGGGAGAGTGGGCAGTGTGGGAGTGGGCAGTGTGGGCAGTGTGGGAGAGTGGGTGGGAGAGTGGGCAGTGTGGGAGAGTGGGCAGTGTGTGGGCAGTGTGTGGGCAGTGTGGGAGAGTGGGCAGTGTGGGAGAGTGGGCAGTGTGGGAGAGTGGGCAGTGTGGGAGTGGGCAGTGTGGGAGAGTGGGCAGTGTGGGAGAGTGGGCAGTGTGGGAGAGTGGGCAGTGTGGGAGAGTGGGCAGTGTGGGAGAGTGGGCAGTGTGGGAGAGTGGGCAGTGTGGGAGAGTGGGCAGTGTGGGAGAGTGGGCAGTGTGGGAGAGTGGGCAGTGTGGGAGAGTGGGCAGTGTGGGAGAGTGGGCAGTGTGGGAGAGTGGGCAGTGTGGGAGAGTGGGCAGTGTGGGAGAGTGGGCAGTGTGGGAGAGTGGGCAGTGTGGGAGAGTGGGCAGTGTGGGAGAGTGGGCAGTGTGGGAGAGTGGGCAGTGTGGGAGAGTGGGCAGTGTGGGAGAGTGGGCAGTGTGGGAGAGTGGGCAGTGTGGGAGAGTGGGCAGTGTGGGAGAGTGGGCAGTGTGGGAGAGTGGGCAGTGTGGGAGAGTGGGCAGTGTGGGAGAGTGGGCAGTGTGGGAGAGTGGGCAGTGTGGGCAGTGTGGGAGAGTGGGCAGTGTGGGAGAGTGGGCAGTGTGGGAGAGTGGGCAGTGTGGGAGAGTGTGTGGGGAGAGTGGGCAGTGTGGGAGAGTGGGCAGTGTGGGAGAGTGGGCAGTGTGGGAGAGTGGGCAGTGTGGGAGAGTGGGCAGTGTGGGAGAGTGGGCAGTGTGGGAGAGTGGGCAGTGTGGGAGAGTGGGCAGTGTGGGAGAGTGGGCAGTGTGGGAGAGTGGGCAGTGTGGGAGAGTGGGCAGTGTGGGAGTGTGGGAGAGTGGGCAGTGTGGGAGAGTGGGCAGTGTGGGAGAGTGGGCAGTGTGGGAGAGTGGGCAGTGTGGGAGAGTGGGCAGTGTGGGAGAGTGGGCAGTGTGGGAGAGTGGGCAGTGTGGGAGAGTGGGCAGTGTGGGAGAGTGGGCAGTGTGGGAGAGTGGGCAGTGTGGGAGAGTGGGCAGTGTGGGAGAGTGGTGTGGTGTGGGAGAGTGGGCAGTGTGGGAGAGTGGGCAGTGTGGGAGAGTGGGCAGTGTGGGAGAGTGGGCAGTGTGGGAGAGTGGGCAGTGTGGGAGAGTGGGCAGTGTGGGAGAGTGGGCAGTGTGGGAGAGTGGGCAGTGTGGGAGAGTGGGCAGTGTGGGAGAGTGGGCAGTGTGGGAGAGTGGGCAGTGTGGGAGAGTGGGCAGTGTGGGAGAGTGTGGGCAGTGTGGGGAGAGTGGGCAGTGTGGGAGAGTGGGCAGTGTGGGAGAGTGGGCAGTGTGGGAGAGTGGGCAGTGTGGCAGTGTGGGAGAGTGGGCAGTGTGGGAGAGTGGGCAGTGTGGGAGAGTGGGCAGTGTGGGAGAGTGGGCAGTGTGGGAGAGTGGGCAGTGTGGGAGAGTGGGCAGTGTGGGAGAGTGGGCAGTGTGGGAGAGTGGGCAGTGTGGGAGAGTGGGCAGTGTGGGAGAGTGGGCAGTGTGGGAGAGAGTGGGCAGTGTGGGAGAGTGGGCAGTGTGGGAGAGTGGGCAGTGTGGGAGAGTGGGCAGTGTGGGAGGTGGGCAGTGTGGGAGTGGGCAGTGGGAGAGTGTGGGCAGTGTGGGAGAGTGGGCAGTGTGGGAGAGTGGGGGCAGTGTGGGAGAGTGGGCAGTGTGGGAGAGTGGGCAGTGTGGGAGAGTGGGCAGTGTGGGAGAGTGGGCAGTGTGGGAGAGTGGGCAGTGTGGGAGAGTGGGCAGAGTGGGCAGTGTGGGAGAGTGGGCAGGGGGAGAGTGGGCAGTGTGTGGAGAGTGGGCAGTGTGGGAGAGTGGGCAGTGTGGGAGAGTGGGCAGTGTGGGAGTGTGGAGAGTGGGCAGTGTGGGAGAGTGGGAGAGTGTGGGCAGTGTGGGAGAGTGGGCAGTGTGGGAGAGTGGGCAGTGTGGGAGAGTGGGCAGTGTGGGAGAGTGGGCAGTGTGGGGAGAGTGTGTGGGGGAGTGTGGGCAGTGTGGGAGAGAGTGGGCAGTGTGGGAGAGTGGGTAGTGTGGGAGAGTGGGCAGTGTGGGAGTGTGGGCAGTGTGGGAGAGTGGGCAGTGTGGGAGAGTGGCAGTGTGGGAGAGTGGGTACAGTGTGGGAGAGTGGGCAGTGTGGGAGAGTGGGCAGTGTGGGAGAGTGTGGGAGAGTGGGCAGTGTGGGAGTGTGGGAGTGTGGGAGAGTGGGCAGTGTGGGAGAGTGGGCAGTGTGGGAGAGTGGGCAGTGTGGGAGAGTGGGCAGTGTGGGAGAGTGGGCAGTGTGGGAGAGTGGGTACAGTGTGGGAGAGTGGGCAGTGTGGAGAGTGGGCAGTGTGGGAGAGTGGGCAGTGTGGGAGAGTGGGCAGTGGGGAGAGTGGGCAGTGTGGGAGAGTGGGCAGTGTGGGAGAGTGTGGGCAGTGTGGGAGAGTGGGCAGTGTGGGAGAGTGGGCAGTGTGGGGAGTGTGGGAGTGTGGGCAGGTGGGAGAGTGGGCAGTGTGGGAGAGTGGGCAGTGTGGGAGAGTGGGCAGTGTGGGAGAGTGTGTACAGTGTGGGAGAGTGTGGGCAGTGTGGGAGAGTGGGCAGTGTGGGAGAGTGGGTACAGTGTGGGAGAGTGTGTGGGCAGTGTGGGAGAGTGGGCAGTGTGGGAGAGTGGGCAGTGTGGGGAGAGTGGGCAGTGTGGGAGAGTGGGTACAGTGTGGGAGAGTGGGCAGTGTGGGAGAGTGGGCAGTGTGGGAGTGTGGGCAGTGTGGGAGAGTGGGCAGTGTGGGAGAGTGGGCAGTGTGGGAGAGTGGGCAGTGTGGGAGAGTGGGCAGTGGAGAGTGGGCAGTGTGGGAGAGTGGGCAGTGTGGGAGAGTGGGCAGTGTGGGAGAGTGTGGCAGTGTGGGAGAGTGGGCAGTGTGGGAGAGTGGGCAGTGTGGGAGAGTGTACAGTGTGGGAGAGTGGGCAGTGTGGGAGAGTGGTACAGTGTGGGAGTGTGGGTGGTGTGGGAGAGTGGGCAGTGTGGGAGAGTGGGCAGTGTGGGAGAGTGGGCAGTGTGGGAGAGTGGGCAGTGTGGGAGAGTGGGCAGTGTGGGAGAGTGGGCAGTGTGGGAGAGTGGGCAGTGTGGGAGAGTGGGTACAGTGTGGGAGAGTGTGTACAGTGTGGGAGAGTGGGCAGTGTGGGAGAGTGGGCAGTGTGGGAGAGTGTGTGTGGGAAGAGTGGGCAGTGTGGGAGAGTGTGGGGAGAGTGGGCAGTGTGGGAGAGGCAGTGTAGAGTGGGCAGTGTGGGAGAGTGAGTGGGCAGTGTGGGAGAGGGTGGGTACAGTGTGGGAGAGTGGGCAGTGTGGGAGAGTGGGCACAGTGTGGGAGAGTGGGCAGTGTGGGAGAGTGGGTACAGTGTGGGAGAGTGGGTAGTGTGTGAGAGTGAGTGTGGGAGAGCAGTGTGGGAGAGTGGGCAGTGTGGGAGTGGGCAGTGTGGGAGAGTGGGTGTGACAGTGTGGGAGAGTGGGTGTGGGAGAGTGGGCAGTGTGGGAGAGTGGGCAGTGTGGGAGAGTGGGCAGTGTGGGAAAGTGGGCAGTGTGGGAGTGTGGGCAGTGTGGGTAGAGTGGGCAGTGTGGGGAGAGTGGGCAGTGTGGGAGAGAGTGGGCAGTGTGGGAGAGTGGGCAGTGTGGGAGAGTGGGCAGTGTGGGAGAGTGGGTACAGTGTGGGAGAGTGGGTAGTGTGGGAGAGTGGGCAGTGTGGGAGAGTGGGCAGTGTGGGAGAGTGGGCAGTGTGGGAGAGTGGGCAGTGTGGGAGAGTGGCAGTGTGGGAGAGTGGGCAGTGTGAGAGAGTGGGCAGTGTGGGAGAGTGGGCAGTGTGGGAGAGTGGGCAGTGTGGGAGAGTGGCAGTGTGGGAGAGTGGGCAGTGTGGGAGAGTGGGCAGTGTGGGAGAGTGGGCAGTGTGGGAGAGTGTGGCAGTGTGGGAGAGTGGGCAGTGTGGGAGAGTGGGTACAGTGTGGGAGAGTGGGCAGTGTGGGAGGGTGGGCAGTGTGGGAGAGTGGGCAGTGTGGGAGAGTGGGCAGTGTGGGAGAGTGGGCAGTGTGGGAGAGTGGGCAGTGTGGGAAAGTGGGCAGTGTGGGAGAGTGGGCAGTGTGGGAGAGTGGGCAGTGTGGGAGAGTGGGCAGTGTGGGAGAGTGGGCAGTGTGGGAGAGTGGGCAGTGTGGGAGAGTGGGTACAGTGTGGGAAAGTGGGCAGTGTGGGAGAGTGGGTAGTGTGGGAGAGTGGGTAGTGTGGGAGAGTGGGCAGTGTGGGAGAGTGGGCAGTGAGGGAGAATGGGCAGTGTGGGAGTGGGTAGAGTGGGAGAGTGGGGAGAGTGGGCAGTGTGGGAGAGTGGGCAGTGTAGGAGAGTTGTCAGTGTGGGAGAGTATAAAGTGTGGGAGAGTGGGCAGTGTGGGAGAGTGCGAAGTGTGGAAGAGTGACCAGTGAGGGAGAGTGGGCAGTGTGGAAGAATGGGCAGTGAGGGAGAGTAGGCTCTGGGGGAGATTGGGCAGTGAGGGAGTGTGGGCAGTGTGGGAGAGTGGGCAATGTAGGAGAGTGGTAAGTGTGGGAGAGTAGGCAGTGAGGGAGAGTAGGCTCTGGGGGAGAGTGGGCAGCGAGGGAGTGTGGGCAGTGTGGGAGAGTGGGCAGTGTGGGAGAGTAGAAAGTGTGGGAGAGTGGGCAGTGTGGGAGAGTAGGCACTAGGGGAGAGTGGGCAGTGAGGCAGTGTGGGCAGTGTGGAAGAGTGGGCAGTGTGGGAGAGTGGGCAGTGAGAGTTGTCAGTGTGGGAGAGTAGGCAATGTCGAAGAGTGGGCAGTGTGGGCGAGATGGCAGTGTGGGAGAGAGGACAGTGTGGGAGAGTGGGCAGTGTGGAAAGCGGGCAGCGAGGGAAAGTGGGCAGTATGGGAGTGTGGGCAGTGAGGGAGAGTGGGAAGTGTGGGGGAGTGGACAGTGAGGGAGAGTGGGCAGTGTGGGAGAGAGAGCAGTGGGGGAGAGTAGACAGTGTGGGAGAGTGGGAGAGTAGGTAGTGTGGGAGAGCGGGCAGTGAGGGAGAGTGGGCAGTGTTGGCAGTGAGGGAGAGTGGGAAGTGTGGGAGAGTGGGCAGTGAGGGAGAGTGGGTAGTGTGGGAGAGTGGGCAGTGAGGGAGAGTGGGCAGTGTGGGAGAGTGGGCAGTGGAGGAGAGTGGGCAGTGAGGGAGAGTGGGCAGTGTAGGAGAGTGGGCAGTGTGGGAGAGTGGGCAGTGGGGGAGAATGGGTAGTGTGGGAGAGTGGTGTTATGATCCCAGGTAACTTAGAAACGAGTCTACCTTGAGAGGTATTCTGCAAAACCTGACCTAAATAAGAAGTCAAAGAAATATAGACATGAAGATATATACGTAATACAATTGGTTAAATTTGGCAAACAGAGTAAAGCATGGGCTTGAATGACTGTGCACATAAACGACTTGACATAAGATGTCGAAAGTTTGTGAGAAAGGCATGAGGCTCGTGTCAGGGGTCTTGACCTTACTCGAGTAACAGCGGTCATGGAAGCAGGATGCAGTGTTTTCAAGCTCCTGGTAGCAGAGGGAAGAAACCCTATTTATGTCAACCCGTTCTCGCAAATTTAATAAGTCAATATTGACTTATTAAATATGTGCATAGGTCACATACTTAACATAATAGATACCCATAAAAAGATTCATAGAAAACACCGACCTTACCTAACCTTGTTAGTATCTTAAGATAAGCATCTTATTGCTTCGTAATTACAATTATTACCTAACCTATAATAGGTATTGGTTAAGTAATAATTGTAATTACGAAGCAATAAGATGCTTATCTTAAGATACTAACAAGGTTAGGTAAGGTCGGTGTTTTCTATGAATCTTTTTAAGGGGTATCTATTATGTTTAGTATATCACCTATGCACGTAGTTAATAAGTCAATATTGACTTTACGAATTTGCGAGAACGGGTTGATTTATGTGCTCCGTCAAGAAGAGAATTATTCAGGTGTTCTTGTGTGAAGTTTGGAGACGACTTCGTGCTCTAGTCAGGAAGGATAAAAGCCCTGTAGAGAAGTTTAAATGACACTTTTGTGGGCTGAGGAGTGCGCCAACGCCCAACGCTGGGGCCAGAGCACGCCTTTGTACAACTAACTCTGTGGTAAGCACAATTTTAACCAGTTTACAGTGATTGTCTGCAGTTGGCCTTGTGCCCAGCGACCATAGCGAATGTTTATTGATATGTTAGGCATGTTTTGGTGAGGCAGAAGGCCAAAATAAGAGAGTAAAGATGGAAGAATGTCCTGGAGGGCGGAGCGAAATCCATCCACTCCGACCGTTGTTGGGCGACTGAGTGAGAGGGCTACCCAGGAAGCGGAGGGCTCCCAGGGAGGGCAGAGCATGGACCAGCCAAAACGTGGGGGAGTCACCTCACAGCATATAGAAAGCAGAGAGATGTCAAGTGAAACATTTATTGTGTGTGATTCATTTTAGTTATGTGTTTACAGAGGAACAATTTTATTGGCATGTCGATGGGTTGCAGGTTTGTCTGGGGAAGGACTTGTTGAGAACTTCGTAGCCAGCAGTGAGGGAGTAGTTGATGAGTCTCCAAGTGTGTGGAAGGTACTGAGCTCTGTGGAAGAGCAGCCATAAAGTGAGGAACAGGACCTCAAGCTGTGAGCAGAGGAGCAGTGAAGTGAAGTTTCACATGCTTCTGTGATACCAGTGGTGAAGCACCATTGTTGCTCAAGGAAGACTTCATGGTGTAGCAGCCGGGAGAGCTGTGGAGGACCCTGGTAGACGGTTCTATGAAAACCTGAAGATGTCAGGGTAGTGAACTTCAAGATGTGGAAAGGAAGTTCTTATTGACCGCTTGTGGGGAGCTGGTAAATTGTTTGGTTGTCATTAGCGTGCACGACGCAGTGAAAGGTGGGTGATTGGTTACAATTTTTATGCCAAGGAGTATTTATACTGAAGTATAGAGTTACAACTGTAGGCTGGATTACCTGCAGAGATATATATGTTCTAGGATTGATAGGGTGATTAATCATTATTGTTTATCAAGGAATATTTATGCTGCTATTTATGTTATTTCAGTCATAGGCTGGTTTTCCTTGAATATATTATATTAAGTGGTGAGACAGCAGTTAGTCTACCACATGATAGGCAGATGACAGAGTCCTGATGGTATTGGAGTGCAACCTGACTATAACATGTTACGGCCCTCTCGGGTCGCAACTGGGTTCTTACTCTCATGTCGTTAGAGGAAGGGTATCCGGCCCCAAGCCAGTAGTGGCTTTCAAGGGATGTGATCAGTAACGCAAGTAAACTAAAAGGGGAAGGGAAAGAAAGGCAAAAACTTAATATTATAATTAGCACCTTCACCAATAAATATATATAAGACGATTACTCAGGGGAGGGTATAAACACTTCACAGGGGTATTATCTACACTGTCGTCTTCTTCCGAAGACTCTGGATCTTCTCGATGCCAAGTTCTCGGTGCTCTCGTGGCCTCACGACGAATCCTTTGAAAAGCTGAGTCTACCCCGGCCACAGGCCAGCCAAAACACAGTTCCACTGGGGGCACCACCGTGGAGGCCGTCAACCACAAGTCCAGCAGACAGCTGGCAGGTTCCGGATCAGCAACGCTGGTCAGGCCACTCCACGAGCGATACTAGGGTAGCGCCCTAGTCAGGAGCCTCGTGTGATACCACAGATCACTCTCCTGTCCACAATACCCCAGTGGTTAATCGTCTCCACCAGTCAGTCCCGGGTATGACAATCCTCAACTGCCGCTTCTCAGGCAGGGTAACACCACAGTGTTCATCCGGGAGGCGACTCACAGCTGCTGCAGCAAAACACTTGGTGTCGAGACGGCTGCCTTGGGTAGACTGACTCAACTTCCCTTACAGCAGTCCCAGGTCGACTCTGTAAGCAGACACGTCATCAATAACAGGGACACACTAAAGCACCTCACTTACAGGCTCAGACCCAAACGCCCACCTATCCACTCCATAGATGGCGTTGTCGTCTGAGCACCACCTCACCAGAGGTCAGCAGCGGCTGTGTTGTGAGCTGAACAGGACTGGAAACTGGCCCTCGTGGCCAGTACACCTCGTCCTCACCAGGTGTCGTCGTCCATTTGGAGGGGGTTTCGGGAGCTGACCCACAGATGGCGCGGTCGTCACTGCTCCAGGCTCGGACGCTGGATTCGGGTCCGTAACAATTGGTACACCCTTTGTGGAAATAAGAAGGCTGGGTGACCGCAGGTGTATACACTCTCTTGGGAAGAGTCACAGGACAAGATGGATAGGGTGCAAGCATTTGTGGAGTCAGGCAAGCCTGAGGACCTGGAAGGTTGCAAGAGGGATCAATTAAAACAAATAGCAGAAAAATGTGGCATCAGGATGAAGGCATCTAAAGTAGTTGGGATGAAGCATGAGATCCTGAGGCAGTCGAGAGCTAAGAGTGAAGCAGCAGAACAAGGAGCCCAGAAAGGACCTGAAAGGGGAAAGGAGGATGATGGGCAGGATGGAGTGAGATCTCAAGGTTCAAGTAGGAGCAGTAAGAGTAGCCGGAACAGGAATTTGGAAAGGTTCCAGCTAGAGCTTCAGGCGCCACGAGTAAATGAGCGTGAGGAGAGACAGTTCTAACTGGAAAATTGGAAGTCAAAACTTCAGATGAAAAATGAACAAGAGAAAGCAAGACTAGAGATGGAGAAAGGAAAAGAGAATGCAAGAATAGAGGTGGAGAAAGAAAAAGCCCAGGTTGAAAGGGAAAAAGAGAGAACAAAACATAAGCAAATAGAACCATGGCTGAACAAAGGATTGAACATGGGTTGCCAGAGATCACCACCCATGTATCACACCCAACAAATGTTAGGGTTAGGGAAAAGGATATTCCCCTGTTTGTACCTGAAGAGGCTTCTTTGAACACTTTGAAAAAGTGGCCAGCATCAAAGAATGGCCACAGGAGGAATGGGCCCAACTGGTGCAATTAAGACTGGCCATTGCTGCCAGAGACATACATCCAATTGTCACTGGAAGAGTGCCAGGATTATGCCACAGTGAAGAGCAACATATTGCGCTCATTTCAGTTGACCCCAGAAGCTTATAGGAAACGCTTCAGAGATAGTGAAGGTTAGAGCATGCAAATTTGCTGACACAACAAGAGATCTGGAAAGGAGATTCCAGAAGTGGATTGAGGCTGCCGGAAGTGGATCGTATGCTGACCCAAAGCAATTGATGGTCATGGAAAAGTTCTTGGAGATGATGCACCCCGAGACAAAGTTCAAGATCCAGGAGGCAGGAGTAAATGATGTGAAAGATGCCGCAGATAGGGCGGATATGATTACTGAAGTATACAAGTGCTTGAGGGAGAACAGAGTGAGAAGCAAGGCGAGATGCAGTAATGGCAGACCCAGTGGAGTCTGGGGAGAAAGAAATTATGTTAGACCCAGAAGAGACTGGGGTGTGAAAATTTTTGGGTAAATGGGCGAATAATCGCAAGGATCCTGAAACTCAGAAGAGTAAGTCGCACACTGTATTTGAAAGTGAGGATGAAGAAGTTAAACGAGAAACTAAGTATGTGCCAAGAAGGCAAGAAATAAGTCAAGTCCCACAGACCAAGAGTAGACTTACCAAATATTCCCACGTGGATGCAACTCCTTTCCCTCCAATTATTTAGATATTACCTTATATGTGTGTGAATACTAGTTGGGGTGGAAATTAAGAAATTATCATTATTGCAGCATGGTGCAACACCCTTGAGGAAGCGTGTGGCCGCCATACTCACGTTTTCCAAGTATCACTATCTCAAGCTGTTTCCAGACTGTCGTACAGTGGACTGCATCTGCGTCCCTCTGTCACAGCTGAGATTTAATAAGTTTTCATTGTAGATAGTACCTTATTATTCAGAGTCCATATATATATATATATATATATATATATATATATATATATATATATATATATATATATATATATATATATATATATATATATATATATATATATATATATATATATATATATATATATATATATATATATATATATATATATATATATATATATATATATATATATATATATATATATATATAACTGAAAACTCACACCCCAGAAGTGACTCGAACCCATACTCCCAGAAGCAACGCAACTAGTATGTACAAGACGCCTTAATCCACTTGACCATCACGACCGGACATAATGAGGTGATAGCCGAGGCTATTTGAACCACCCCACTGCCGGCACTCGGATAGTAATCTTGGGCATAGCATTTTACCAAATCACCTCATTCTTTGGGGCACACGTGAGGAACACAAATGCGAACAAGCCTGAATGGTCCCCAGGACAATATGCAACTGAAAACTAACACCCCAGAAGTGACTCGAACCCATACTCCCAGAAGCAACGCAACTGGTATGTACAAGACGCCTTAATCCACTTGACCATCACGACCGGACATAATGAGGTGATAGCCGAGGCTATTTGAATCACCCCACCGCCGGCACTCGGATAGTAATCTTGGGCATAGCATTTTACCAAATCACCTCATTCTTTGGGGCACACGTGAGGAACACAAATGGGAACAAGCCTGAATGGTCCCCAGGACAATATGCAACTGAAAACTCACATCCCAGAAGTGACTCGAACCCATACTCCCAGAAGCAACGCAACTGGTATGTACAAGACGCCTTAATCCACTTGACCATCACGACCGGACATAATGAGGTGATAGCCGAGGCTATTTGAACCACCCCACCGCCGGCACTCGGAGTAATCTTGGGCATAGCATTTTACCAAATCACCTCATTCTTTGGGGCACACGTGAGGAACACAAATGCGAACAAGCCTGAATGGTCCCCAGGACAATATGCAACTGAAAACTCACACCCCAGAAGTGACTCGAACCCATACTCCCAGAAGCAACGCAACTGGTATGTACAAGACGCCTCATTATGTCCGGTCGTGATGGTCAAGTGGATTAAGGCGTCTTGTACATACCAGTTGCATTGCTTCTGGGAGTATGGGTTCGAGTCACTTCTGGGGTGTGAGTTTTCAGTTGCATATTGTCCTGGGGACCATTCAGGCTTGTTCGCATTTGTGTTCCTCACGTGTGCCCCAAAGAATGAGGTGATTTGGTAAAATGCTATGCCCAAGATTTCTATCCGAGTGCCAGCGGTGGGGTGGTTCAAATAGCCTCGGCTATCACCTCATTATGTCCGGTCGTGATGGTCAAGTGGATTAAGGCGTCTTGTACATACCAGTTGCGTTGCTTCTGGGAGTATGGGTTCGAGTCACTTCTGGGGTGTGAGTTTTCAGTTGCATATTGTCCTGGGGACCATTCAGGCTTGTTCGCATTTGTGTTCCTCACGTGTGCCCCAAAGAATGAGGTGATTTGGTAAAATGCTATGCCCAAGATTACTATCCGAGTGCCGGCGGTGGGGTGGTTCAAATTGCCTCGGCTATCACCTCATTATGTCCGGTCGTGATGGTCAAGTGGATTAAGGCGTCTTGTACATACCAGTTGCGTTGCTTCTGGGAGTATGGTTTCGAGTCACTTCTGGGGTGTGAGTTTTCAGTTGCATATTGTCCTGGGGACCATTCAGGCTTGTTCGCATTTGTGCTCTTCACGTGTGCCCCAAAGA